GTGTGTGTGTGTGTGTGTGGAGAGAGGGAGAGCAGAGCAGCAGTCAGCTCTCCCCACCCAGGTCAACAGATGATCATGCTAAGCTTGCCAACTGTTCCACTCTCTGACTGCTGCAGGGGCGTGTCTTAGAGAGAGGCTTTTATATCAGAACACAGCCGCTGTGACGAAACTGTGGAGAAGCATGTCACAGCGGAGAGCTGTTAACCAATATGTAAATTAGCCTGCAGTACCACTGCTCTACCCATATGAGCAGCAAAAAGACGTTTTTAGACCAAATATTACAGATTTGGACAAATACGCACAAAAACATCAAAATTGGCACAGAAACGGTACTATATAGCATTTTAGACACATTCTAGACAGTTTATCAGCTAAAAAAAGTTAATTTTGGGGTAAGTTACTCTTTAAACAGAGATCTCTTCAAAACAACAAAACAGTCCACGAAAAACCGCAAACAGAAAACTTTAGGTTAACTCCATCCAATATCACATCATCAAACTGAAATGCTCTCTGTCTGGTGAAAAAACTCACCCTTTGTAGCTGGCTTTGCAGAAAACGATTCAGTGCGACGGTGTTTACTGGAGCAAAAACCTCTGTTGCGTGACGCCATAAATGATATAAATGGGTCTTCTCAGTTCTGCGTCTGGATTGTTATACTGAAGAGAGAAACTCTGAAACAGGCAGGTTGAACAGCAGAATCTTTATTTGCAGTCTAGGAGATTACAGCCAAAACCAATTGTGGCCTTCTGTGCCAAATGGAAACCAGAAAAGAAGACCCCAGGCAGAGGAGTACAAGCCTTTTTATAGGTTCAAATGCAGTCCCAACAGATGCAAATACATTTTGTCACGGTATATCTTAAGCATTCCATTCCTAATATGGTAACTTGTGCCGAGCTCTGCAGCTAGTGTAAGCCTTGCCTTGAAAGGAAAACAGTACATGGTGCATTCTGAGAAAAGGCCTCAACTGAAGACACTTCAGTAACAAAGTATTTGTACTTTGTTACTTGACACCTATGATCATATTCATACAGTCTTTGCATCTTCAGGAAACTTCAGAAAAATGCTGCATTGCCCACATTAGCTTTAGCATGTGACAAAGTTTTACTGATGACTCTGATTTTAATTTTATGTTGACTGCCTTCCCTTCACCCCGCCAGCTCCACCAGATCACCACTCATCAGTCCCTCTGAACAGGGCCGGATTAACACTTGTCTGTACCCTGGGCAACAATAT